TGAATTAAAACAAGAAACTTCTAGACAAATGAAAACATGTTTTATTTACAAGAAAAAAGTCTGTACATTGTGTATACATAAAAATATACAAAACCAAAATAGAAAATATCAAAGTGTTAAAATGTGTACAAACACTTTTAAAATGCGACTCCTGGAAAACTTCAAGCCTTAATTAGTTTGAAGAGTACACATTTCATTTTAAAAATTATTATACAAAAGAATTCCCAAAGCTGTTAAAAAAGTTCACTGGTTTCCACTGGAAGAACTAAGTATTTCATCTAGAGTAAAACAGGATTTGTTATAAATGTTAGATTTTACCACTCCCAGTGCAATTTCTTTGTTTCAAATCTACCTTGCAAGAAGACTATTTTCCATAGAACCAGTAAAAGTTTCTTCTAGTCTTTGAAAGCCATGAGCTATAGCTAAGCTTCCCTTCAAAGTTCAGTGTTAAATCAGGCTTCTGACTAGGATACAATATTAAGGTAGTGTTCTACCTACATAGTGCCTTTTAAATAATTCTGTCAGACCATTTTAACGTATCCAAGATGTGCAGAGTATGAGTGTGTGGGAAGCAGTTGGCAGAGGACTGAATTTTTTTTTTTTAACAGAAGGACATATAACATTTGTTTCCTTCTTTTAAAATATTAGTGGTTACATAATTAAAATAAAATTTATAGTAAAGGTTTCAGTCAAAAACATTGATGAAAAAGCAATATGAAACCAACCATGTTTGTAGATATGTATATACACAATTATATAACTATATCTACTACATGTATGCTTTTTATACTAAGAACTAGATCATTGTCTTTACTTCTTTAAATTTCATTAGCTCAAGTTTGAACAGAAACATGTTAGATTACTTTTTTTTAACCAAAAGGCTTCATTCATTTAATAAAACAAGAACTTACATTTTATTTCCTTGAACCGACAAATACCTTTCATTTATCAAGTGTGTAAATAATGCCCATGTGACACAAACATGCATAATGATCTCACAATGAGGATATCCAGGTATAAAAGACAAGTTGAAACTCAGGAACATTTTACCTAAACAATTAATTTCCAGATAGAGTTGCCTTGATCAGTCACGTAACCACTGGGTAAGAGTTCTAAACTATCAGAAAGTCAGAAATCGAAACAGACAATACAATAGAACAGACTTGGAAGCTACCTGGCCAATAGGTTCACTCATGTCTCTCTGATAATTCCCCTGATCCCACCTCACTTCCTTTCTCTGTCTCTTACCACAGCTAAGCAGAAATTCAACCAGGTAACTGACCACATGTACTGCATGTTGATCGATAAGAAAAATTGGAGAGAGAACTTGAATCATGGCATTTGTTTGTATGAAATTCTTCTATTATATACTGGCGCTCATCTAAGACTGATCCCACTTAATGCACCCAAACGGGATCTACCTAATTAATGCAGGAGATGTGTTACTGCTTAGAAGAGTCAATCAGCAGCATGAGTATGATCCGTCCCAGCAGAATGACCTGGCTCATATACATGTTAAGAGAGTGACCCAGCTACTTTGATTTCCTAATTTTGAAAATGCTAATGATTATTTTAGCACTTCTTTTTGTGCAGATGCTATGGCTACAATGACCGAGGACTACTGGAGAGTCCAGGGTTGATTAAGTGTCTAGCTGAGAGACCAAGAGGACCAGACACATGGGAAGTGCTGTTCCTCAAAGCTCTGCCTTCAGGCAGACAAGGAAATACCTGGTCATTCAAAGATGTATAAAAGCCCCCCTTGCCCATTTTAATGCACAAGCCTGATGCTGACATGCAACTTTTAATTGACCATCCCTTGGTCCTGAGCACAAAGTTCTCTGTAGGAGCAGCTCTATAAGGATGTAGTGGGAAAGGTCAGCTCCCTGGGACGAGCATTGGTATTCCATGAGAACACCAGGTCTGTTAAAGGTTACCCGCCTGCTTGGTGTGACCCGCTGGAGAAATAAGTTAGGGAGAGTCTAGATGTGGTTGAATTGTCATTGCTGGTCAAAATTTGTTTCTTTGTGATAACAACAACAATGGGTGAAATTATCTTGAAATACAAAAGAATGTTTGTTGGTCCTGAGAGTGCAAAAAGGAATCCTTAACAGCTTTGGCTTGCACCAAGAGGATTTTTTACCAGCTTCCCTTCATAAGAGAGGATGGAGGATTTTGGAAGAGACAGAACCTGGGAGAAATTCAGTGAGCTGCCACTTATTGTTAACTACTCCACAGAAGAACTGTGTGTTTACTGGAATTCAGTAAATGTAAGGATTTAGGCATGTAAAGATTTAGTCAATGTCTGGCAAAATACTGCCACTTAGGACCCATTTGGCTAATACTAGAAGTAGTCATCACGTTAACTATAACTGCCTAACATTTTTTAGAAGTTAAATAACTTAAACTTTTATAGAAGAATGCCCAGTCAATACTATATTAATATGTGTATTACATTTACTGTTGAACAGACCCTGATTCCCAAGAGTCTTTAAGGCTATAATAAAAGCAAAAATTGTAATTAAATTTCCGTCGTACTCTTCAGTCTTTCTTGTAACCTCAGTGAAACTGAAAGTACTATTTTAAAAGTACAATGATTACAACAAAATTCTATTTAAAAATCTTTTAAGTGTGGGGTTCTGAGGCTTTTGAACTTGAATACTTACAGTGACCCCCATAAATTCTCCTCTAACCAAGTTCTCATGTCAGCCAAGGGGGATTGTGCTGGATAGTGAGGATGCCTACAAGTAAATCCACTCGCAAAACTATAAAAGGAGCTTCAATAGTCAGGGGCATTTAATGGCCGGGAAGATCTAGAAAGATCCAAGGATTGTAGGGAGTAATATTCACCCACCAGAGCCACCTCACCCACATTCCACAGTTGCTGAACTGATTACACACAGGTAAACATAAGGACGAGACCAAGTTCTTTCAAGAAATTAGAAAGGAATGGCCGGGCACGGGTGGCTCACGCCTGTAATCCCAGCACTTTGGGAGGACAAGGCAGGCAGATCACAAGGTCAGGAGATCGAGACCATCCTGGCTAACACGGTGAAACCCTGTCTCTACTAAAAATACAAAAAAGTAGCTGGGCGTGGTGGCGGGCACCTGTAGTCCCAGCTACTTGGGAGGCTGAGGCAGAAGAATGGTGTGAACCTGGGAGGCAGAGCTGGCAGTGAGCCGAGATGGCGCCACTGCACTCCAGCCTGGGCGACACAACGAGACTCCGTTTCAAAAAAAAAAAAAAAAAAAAGAAAAAGAAATTAGAAAGGAACATGGCTTAACCATGTCTATTTAGACATAAGTTAATACATAGGACAAAGTTATCTATCCCTTCTCATAGACGTAATAACCAAACTCTCAAAATGGGCTTTTATTGGATATTGTTGTGATTAAGACTTTCCAATTTTTCCTTCACTATTATAATAAGCTATAGGAGATGTCTTGTTGTTCAGCTCCATATCTGCTGAATAGACTAACCAAACAGAAGCCGCCAGTCTCTGTAAGCCGTTCTTGCTCAAGAAAATAGTCCTGAGAACAGTCTAGAAACCAATCCTGAAACAAGTAAAACTTTTCCACGGAGAACGCCTTTAATTAAGCTGCTATTGTCACCACCACAAGTCTTAACTGTGCCATGGAGATACGTTTTGGTTGTACATTGAAATAATAGCATGTTTAATTAAGGTATTACAAAATGTTTCTGTTTCACTATATTCTCGGCAAAAAATGTTCAGTGTATCAGCGACAGTTGAGATTTAAAAAAAAAATCAACCCTGAATATAGCTAACATATTGGGATGAAAATTTCCCTCTAGGTGCCTTTCCCTCTGAAGCATCTAGATATTTTCCTTGTTAATAAGCAATGCTTTCGCATAAATGATTTAATTATATGGCTTTGTCACGCTGCTGACATAAAACATATCTGGGAAAGCAAGGATTGGATTCCTAAATGTCTGTAGGAAGATTTAGTGAAGATTCAGTGCTCATCACTCTTGAGCTCCCCCTGGTTGATGAAACCTGCCAGAAACCCATACAATAAAGACAGGCGTGCATCCCTAGAAGCACAGAGTGACGGCTCCGAAATCTTTCCTTCTAGTTTGGAAGGAGCGAGATGTTTCTTGTCTTCCCCAGCATGGCTGTGCCAATTGTCAGGTGTGTCACTGACTACGCAAAAGCTGTGGGGGTAGATCTGCAGGTGAGGAGGTACAAGGCAGAACAGCCGGAACCGGGGAGTGTCCAGGGGCACCTGCAGCCCCGTGATTCTGTGTTACTTGCCAGTGATGTGCCTCCTGGTGGATGTGATACTAATGCTCCTGGTTGAAATTCTGCAGGGAAACAAAGGGCCTCCTCTGTGCTGCTATATGGAATTTGGCTTTTTCTTGGACCTTTCAAGGTGTATGTTTTCTGGTTCTAGAGCTCCGTCTTGACGCACAGAAAGCAAAGCATTCAGTGGGCAATGGGAAGCAGAGATGAAGAATGCAACGGCTGGAAACACAAGCATTTGCCAGGATGTGCTGGGAATTTTTGCTGTAAAACACATCTGAGTGATAATTTCAATGTTTGTCATAAAACCTAGGATATTTAATGATGAAGGCATGTATCAGTGATGCACTTGATGCTGTAAATGATGTCCCTCAACTTGGATGTTTCTAAATATAAACCACTTCCTGTGGTCAGGAGCACCACCAAAACCTATTACTGAAACCAACCCTGATGAGGGGTACTCATGGCAGAAGAGTAAGTTGTTAACATTTCTGGAGGTACCATACCCATGGTTATACACATGTTTTCTTTCTAGCTATCCTTTGTTTTGCATCTTTCTTGTGCCCTACTTTTTAAAAAATCCGTTTCTATATTCAAAGCAGTAATAAATACTCAATGGCTTAGAAAGTGAAGAATTCTCATGACCACCACTAAATTACAGTTTAAAGACTCAAAACTACATTGTCTAAAATCTATCTTCAAGTATTCTTTTGTGACTTTGAGTACAACAGTAGTACCTTATTGCACATTGATTCCCAAGAAACCCTTTTTAAGAGTGTGGAATGACTGGACTCGGTGCAGGGCAGTGCACCGTCTGGAAGCCAGGCAGAACCACCTTGCCCTTGCGTTGCAAATCCCCCTGCGTGCCTGTGTTCAGGCGCTGCACCAGAAGCTTCTCATAGAGCAGCGGGTGGTACGCCCCAAGGGTGCAGGCTGCGTCGTAGTACAGCTCGTGGTAGTGGCACAGCTCCGTCTGCCGCACGGACGGGATGTATTCGTACACGTGCACCTCTCTGCACATGGACATCATGATGAGGATTCCTGACATGAAAACGAAAAATTAGAACCTAATGAACAACTCCACATGAGAGGAATGACTTTTTTTGGGGGGGTGGTGGTTGTGATGGGGTATGACTGTGGCAAGAGACACTTGCTTTGCATTCACTTTTTTGTTATTGTTACATTTGCAATGTTATAACTTCCATTAAGTGGTGTGTATGCAGTTCATGGAGTATGGGTGCATATTAAAACGTAATACTATATATATGTGTATCTATTCACTCATTCACTTCATCACTGTGGGCCTGGTAAGGAGAGATGAAAAGAAGTCAGTAAACTTAAGGGAACCACACTCTAGTGAAGAACAGATTTGCAACCCCCAAATCAGAGTCTCCTATATCACGTTCTACACACATGTCCCATCTGGTTTGCAATGGTGGGACTGTTACATTCCAAAGAAACAAATGCCATAAAAACTAAATTATAAAATAGTTGCTTGATTATAAATTGACTATAATACAGTTGTTCGAAAAGTTGTAACACAAAACTGTACAATGGACCAGCTCTTGTAAAATACTATAGTTCTCTGAATGGAAAGAAATGGAGTTAGAGGGACACAGAGTTTAAGATTCATATTAACAAAATTATTTTTCTCACTACACTATCACTGTTAAAGGTTTAATTTTTTCATGTTTCAAATAAACAGCTATAACAGCTAATCATCACTGAGTAGATTTTATTCTTTTTTTTCTTTTTTTTGAGACAGAGTCTCACTGTGTCACCCAGGCTGGAGTGCAGTGGCGCGATCTCCGCTCACTGCAAGCTCCACCTCCCAGATTCACGCCATTCTCTTCCCTCAGCCTCCTGAGTAGCTAGGACTACAGGTGCCCACCACCACGCCTGGCTAATTTTTTGTATTTTTAGTAGAGACAGGATTTCACCGTTTTAGCCAGGATGGTGTCGATCTCCTGACCTTGTGATCCGCCCACCTCGGCCTCTCAAAGTACTGGGATTACAGGCGCGAGCCACCGCGCCCAGCCTGAGTACATTTTATTCTTGATCTAGACTAATGGCTTTCTTTCTTTTCTCAACACCATCAGTGCCACTATTAACTTGAAAGTTAAAAAAAAACATGCTTATCTGTTTTCTGAAAGGGATATCCCTTGTTATAAAAAACATAAAGCAGCAGTTATTCTTGTTATATAGCCAACATTTATCTGAAGATGACAGTAATATTCCCTAATTAATCAACCATGTGTGCAACACAAAAATCTCATATCAGAGGAGTCCTGTATAAGGGACACTGGGAGAGAAGAGAGAAGGGGCCTAATTTTGCTGAGGGGATCCAGAAAGGTTGCCCAAAGGTGGAGAAGTGTGAAGCTCAAGGGGCTGCCTGGTAGAAGGAAACAGGAGAAGGGATACTGCTCCAGAGACAGCAAGGATAGCTTGCATAGAAGATGTCAGAGTCATGATACGGTGTCATAGTTGAGAGTAAAACACACTCTTAACAAAGAGAAGGGGATTATGCAGTTCAAATTCTATGCAGTCAAGTTGCTCTCAAGAGCGATGGTCAGAACCTCAGGTTACTGGATCAATTCCTCTTGTTTTTCTCCTAGGTCCTTCTACCACTTTCCTTCCTTCTTCCACGGCTGCCTGGCCGCTGCCACTCCCTTAGGTTAGCCCAAAGCATGTGATTCAGGCATTCAGGTGGCACCAATTGAGAACAAGGAAGCAGCACCCCCCAGATGCTCGGAGTGTCTGCACCCGTGGAGAAACATGAATGCAGGTGGTCAAAAGTTTGCCTCCTGATTAGTAATGACTGCTCTCAAACATTTTTTCTCCCCTGCATAAAATCATATACAAGGAATTCACATGGTGAATGACATCTGCCCATGGAGAATTAAATTCTTTTATTTCCATTCACTTGCCGACGTGGTGAAATCCTATCTCTACTAAAAATACAAAAAACTAGCTGGGCATGGTGGCATGCGCTTGTATTCTTAGCTACTTGAGAGGCTGAGGCAGGAGAATCACTTGAGCCTGGGAGGTGGAGGATGCAGTGAGCCAAGACTGCACCACTGCACTCCAGCCTGGGTGACAGAGTGTGACTCTGTCTCAAAACAAAACAAAACAACCCACAGACAAACCTAAACAAACAAGAAACGCTCTGGTGTGAATGTTCTCTGGTGGCTGAAGTTTTCCCAGAGCCTGTGTCTGTGGAGCTGAGGACAGCTTCATGCTTTCTAATCAGGGGCTACAGACCAAGTTGCTGTGCATTGCCCAGCACTGGGGGCTCCCTCTCACCTGGGTGTGACATCTGCTCTGCCAGCTCTGCACAAGGAACCACATTGAAGGAGGTGGACTTCATCATGGGCATCATTAATCAATATATTTATTACAACACTTTCCTTGCACATGGCAGGGAGGTGGCTCCAAGGGTGTCTTTTGCACAAAGTCACTGTATAACCTAGCAGTGGCACTGTACCCAGAAACCACAATTCTTTGCTACTTGGGCATTTCTATGAGCTACTAACACAATGGCATCCATAAGGACTGGAGTCAATTGTGTTGGAGTTGTGACCTTTGCAACTCTGGCTCTTAAACTGGATGGTTTTCAAAAGCCAATCTTATACTTAGGGGAGTATGTTAGCCATGCAGTTGGTCCTCCCCATGAAGCAGTAGTCCTCAAAGTTCAGCATAGAAAAGAACGACACAGGCAGCTTGATCCAATGCAGGTTCCTGGGACTTGTCTTCATTTCCAGAAATTCAGGTTCCATTGGTTTGTGCTGGGGTCCAGGAATCTGAATTTTTAACAAGCATTCCCTTTAGGTGAAAGGCCAGTTAGAGAAAATCTCCAAACTCTCACAGACCAATGCTTTTGTAAAACACCATAATGAGGAATTATGAGAAAAATGGTCACCTATTTGGATGCCATGGCTATGGGAAATTGCTGTAAGGTGTGTAAATCCTTCCAGTTTCTACAGTAATCTAGTTGCAGAGCAGTAAGACACGTTCCTGGACCAGTGCTGGTCTCGTCTCCTGCTTTAAAGAAAAGGTGGTTCGAACACACATGTTTTGAGAACTGCTGAGGAATCCCTAAGTTGTCTCATAGGCGGGAAGACATTCTGTATGTTGACAGCTAATCTAGATTTGAACTGCTACCAAATCCAAGTAACTCTGGGGAGTTTCCTTATACATCCTTGCTATCCTCTTGGACTCAGAGAGCTATCAGATGCTTGAATCTGATTGTTTTTCCAGAGACAAATTTTCCTCTTGCTGCTAGTTAACCGTTATATCTTAAATCATGTTATCTGCTAAATATACAATATAGATTTTGTCACAGACTATGCAAATAGTTATGCTTTCAATATATGTAAATAGGTACACTTTTAGTATTTTCTTATATAAGTACTCTATATTTAAAAAGAACTTCTTCAGCTTCAGAAATAGAGGGATTTGTCAGTTAGCTCATGGCAGTCCAAATTGAAAGCCAATAGATGCTATGAGAGTGGGCGTTTGACCTGAGTTTTCTGCACAGTTCTTCCTGATCTTTGCCTATTGGATACAGATTTAGCAACAATGATTTCTCCATCTTGTTTTGTAGTCTCATGAACTTGTGGCTGCCTGAAACTATGAACCATGGCTTGGAGCATCCTAAAATTAAAGTAACAGTAGAATCTACCCTGAGTGTTTAAGTGGCAGCCAGCTGCAGCCACTGATATGGAATTGGTATAGAGGCATCTTCCAAAAAAAAAAAATGAAAAAATTAATTTAAAACTCACTATGGAGTAAGGCGTGCAGTGGCTCACGCCTGTAATCCCAGTACTTTGGGAGGTCAAGGCAGGTGGATCACTTGAACCAAGGAGTTTGAGACCAGCCTAGTCAACATGGTGAAACCCTGTCTCTACAAAAAAAAAAAAAAAAAAAAAAATATCAGCCAGGCATGGTGGCTTGTGCCTTTGGTGCCAGCTACTTAAGAGGCTGAGGTGGCAGGATCACTTCAGTCCAGAGGTTGAGGCTGCAGTGAGCCATGATTGTGCCACTGCACTCCAGCCTGAGTGACAGAGTGACATCCTGTCCAAAAAAAAAAAACTAGTAATAAAAATAAAACTAATTGCGTTATGTGAAAGGTAGACAAGGAGATTTATGGTGTCAAAGATGTAGAATATTCTTTAATATTTTTCAGACAGCATGATCAATTCATTTAGCATATGCAGACTTTGCTTTTTAATTTTCTTTAAGGCTGTTGTTACACATAAATTTGAGTTTAGATTCAGACTCTGTCATATAATAGTGAAAATTATTAGTATTAAATTTCATTCCATCTACACATCAATTTTCCTAAGAGTTAATAATAGTACTTAGCAATACACAAACACTTGAAGAATAAATTTCTTCATACTTTGCAAAAAAGAACTAGGTAGATGTCAATGTTTGGACATATACAATAATAGCTCTTACACGGTTCAGAATGGGGTATGTGGGGAGTAGATACTGCAGGCAGGCAGAACGGGGACAGGATTAGGGAAGAATAGAGTCTTTAAGTGCTGTTTGAGGCCTCCTCAATTAAATTCAACATCTATCAAACTGCCCACGTTACTAATCATCAGAGATTTAGAGCACCTTTCTTTAAAAACAAAACGAAGTTAAACAAAACTAAAGATTTCACCTTTAAATTTAATGACAGGTAGAAGGCCCATGACCATTCTCAGGATGGCTTGAAGAAAGTATCCTAAACGTCATACTGAGAAAAATGTTTATGAACTACCATGAGATCTCTTCCGCAATGCCCCAATGCTGAGCCTTGTCATTCACAAATGACTACCAACAGCACACAGCTCTCAAACGAACTCTGCGTCACCACCATTAAGTTACTGTCAGTTCCCAACACACCCTTAGGTTCAATGATTCAATAGGAAGACCCAGTATCTAGCACAGAGTTTTACTCACGATGATGATTTATACAAAATGATACAAAGCAAAATCAGCACAAGCAAAAGGTGCACGGGGTAAACAGTCCAGGGGGCACCAGGTGCGAACCT